AGATTTATAAATAGACAAATGATATGCATGAGCAAAATCATTTTGCATGACATTCGCATAGTTCTTTGATTGTTAAGGTACATACAACCTCATATCGTGGCTCTAATACCATTACATGAAATGGGTATAAGGTGGCATGGTTTAATAGGATCCCATCACACTATAACAGAGATATACCTAAAACACATATGAAACAAGGAGTTTCACATGGTTCAACAATACTACATACTTGTTATATCTCAAAAAGGATTCAAGAAGTTGTAGCAGGTTGGGCAATTTGGCAACCTTTCAACAACCTCAAAGAGAGTTATTAACGTGGCACTACCAGAAATCTAAAAAGTTCATCCTAATTTTTCTAAAGGGTGATGTAAAATGCAATGATACATGAAAAAATCAACATTAAAGAAAAGTCAATTAAGTGATAATAGACAATGGTAATATAAACATCATTCCTCTAGTTATCCTCGCGAATAACACCACTATTGTTAATCTAATTGGCTCCATCAATAGATAATACTAATTCTCCATTAGCAAATTGCACCCTCTTTTACCGCTTCAATCAATGTTGACTTTGATCAAGAAGTAAATAATTTTGAAATATTTAATTAATTAGGAAATTTTCAAATGCGATGGCCTAAGGGCTTTTCTTAGAAGAAAAAAGAGAGAGGCTATGGATATCTTCAATTAGATACGAAATAAAAAAGAATAAAAAAATAATTGCAAAAGCTAAAACGTTAATTAACAAATTAAGTATTTTTAGTCTATTTTAAAAAAAACAGGGATAAAGTAGTTGTATTTCGCAAATCATAAAGATATGATTAAAATTTTCCATATTTTTACTTTAGAAAATTATAAAATCAAAAATTGTAAACAAATAATTAGTCAACTAATGAAAAATTAATAATAATAGAATACCACTTAAAAAGATTTTATATTATTTAATACCACTTAAAAAGATTTATATTATTTAATCTAAAAGAAATGAAAATAATTTGACCAAATAAATAAATTTTCTATGAATTTTAACTTTGTGGCAGTGTTAATTTTTAACTTTGACCCATTAAACACTTTAATTTATAAATTGACATAACCTTCCCTCTTTGTCTCTCTCTATACATATGTCTCATCGCAACTAAAAAAGAAATTATTTTGCTATTTGCAAAATTATTGTGTGTGTTGAATATGTAGTTGGCATATATGACTTTTATGGTTACATTTCTCCATTTCTTTTTTTAATTTTATTTTCTGACTATGTAATTTTCATAATTATTTATATAATAGTGGTGATATATTAATGAAACTAACATTTTAAAATGCAAATTTAAAGCTTTGCTTCTTCCAATTATAAGCTAAAAAAATATGTTTTGTTATTTTTATTAAATATTGTAGAAATTTTCTTTTAAATGTGTAAAAAAATTATAAATTTATAGTACGATAACTTTATTAAAGTTTTAAAAACCTATAAACTTAATTAAAATGTAAAAAAAATAAAACACCTTATTTTTTTGTAAAGATATATTTGTAATATTTGTCCATATAAATAAATTTTACGAGCAATAGAAACTATAATAAATAAAGAAATAAAATTATATTCACTTACCTGCATATTTTCTAAACACTTGTTTAATGTTAAAAATATTTATAATCTAATATTTATGGGGACTCAGTGAAATTATATACGATGGATTAAAAATATAAATTTTTAGGAAATAGTTTATATAAATTAGATACCTAATGGAATTAAATGGAAAAAATTCAAAACTATATTAATTAAGAAGTAAAATATACCATAATATAGAGCTGAAAGTAAAGAAATAAGTTTATTCAAGATACAGTAAATAAATTTAATTATTAAAAAATTCATTTGTAATTTTTTATAAATGGAGATATTAATTAAAAAGTAAAATATACTATAACATAGAGCTAAAAGTAAAGAAATAAGTTTATTCATGATACAGTAAATAAATTTAATTATTAAAAAATTGATTTATAATTTTTATAAATATAAATTATTTTCATTTTTTACCATTTCATATATTTATTTTTTATTCGTATAAAATATTAAAATAAACTTAAAATTGGTCTTTTTTTTCATTTTTTTATGTTTTCACACTTATATATAAAGAGAAAAAAATATTAAAAAAAAGCTCAATGCTACCTATATTAATTTTCTTTTATCATTTTTCCTTCCAATGTAAATTGTACTAAAATGTACACATCTATATAATCTATAAAAGAGAGTAGTTTCCCTTATATGGAAGCCAAGTGTAAACAACACAATTTGTTACTTAGTAGTATTTTAGATTATAAAATGACAAATGTTAGAATTCTAAATTAAATTGTTAGACCGATTTTTTTAAAAACAAATTAAATTTATTGATAATTGAACTGAGCCTAAAGCTAACATCCTCCCATTTCAATTTATTTAGCGTAGTTTTCATTAAAAAAATCTCTTTTTGATGGAAAATAAGATCAAAACGAATGACTTATCAAGAGTAGCGAAATATGTTTTTAGTTGTAACGAGAATATTTCTAATCATCTCTTAATTAATAAAAAAAGATATAAAAATAAAATAAAATAAAAACCTTGGTTGATTGGCTTGGTGTATGGATTAGTCTCATATACTAGAAACTAAATTGCACGCACATGGGATGAACATACGGAATAGGATAATTTTTAAAAAAGTATGACATTTACACGCTTATGACACACTACATTAAATAAGTATAATACATTAATATTTCAATAAATAAATAATTATTTATAATAAATCATAAACATAAAATAAAAAAAAAACTTTTATTGCAACATAGTTAATTAAATTCTAAAAATTATTATTGCTATTAAAAAATACATTAATACCCTTGGATTCTTTAAAATTTTTGAGTTCTCTATATTTCTAAAATCCTTTGGGCGGCCACGCTTATGTAATTTTTGTTTTAAACGTATAAGAATTAAACATAATTGCAATAGCATTTTGAAAGGGCTTTTAAATATAATCGCTTTTTGGCTTGAAAGAGATTAATCTCTCGTTTAACCGTTAGACGGGAGGTGGCAGGACATTCTTAGTAATAAAAAAAATAAATAAATAACAATTAAAGCCCGCAACACTTGTCTACTTGATGGCCTAGGCGCACTTTACATCCAATTACAATAAAGTTTAGGATTATAACCTAATTTGCCTATACATAGATAAAAGTACAAAACTGTAAAACTATCAAAAAAGAGAACTTGCCTACCAAGGCTCCCTCACAGAGAACCTAATTCCTATGCACAACAAAGAGAAGAACAGGAATTTTAGCATACTTTTATCATCAATTTTTAATTTTAGGTGGTTTTCAAATTTTAGTTTTAGGTTTGATTGTAGTTTTTATTTTATGTTTGATTTCATAAATATTGAAATATTAAAAATCTAAAATTTAAAATTTAGGATATCGATAAAAATTTCATAAATTTCATAAATATTAAAATATATAATAGTATCGGAAATTTAAAATTTAATTATTTATTATTAGTTATTTAGTTAAAACTTAGCAACTTGAATTAAAATTCTAAATTTTATTGAATACCCCATGATATTTAATTTATTCAAGGAGATGCATTTTATATGATAACTCGTAATTCTACCATGATATATTTTAAAAAATAATATGAAATTAAATTGATCAAATTTTAAAATTACAATAGTATATTTAAAATTTTAAACACTAATAATTATTTTAATTGAATATTCTAATACGAAAAATATAGGAAGTTACTATTTCTTCCCTATTTAAAGTTATTATCTATATAAAATATTTTTATTATTTTATGACATTGTTTAAAGTTTTAAGTGGAGAAAAAACTTTACAATAAAATGGAAGGTAATTTCTTAAATGAATGCATGGCTGTTTATATCAAAAAAAGAAATTGCACTAAAATTTAATGTTGATTCAATTATATATGACTTGAGCACTATGAAAGGACTTCGAGCTGCATAAAATGATGTTTTAAGTCAGGTCAGAATTTGAATAATTTTTATAACATTGTTTTAACAATTTTTTATGAAATATTATTTTCTTTTATAATAAGTAATTTTATTAGTACTTATATTATATTAAGAACAAGAAGTGGCGGAATTAGAAATTATTTTCTATGCAGTCATTTTTTTGATTTGAGTTTTAATTGGATCAATTAGATTAAATATTTTAAAATTTTTTACTTAATATATCCTTTTACAATTTTTTTATCAATTAAGCCATATTTATAATATTTTTTTAAAAAAATTTAGTGGCTCTGGTGCCGCCTCTGAGAACAATGGATACATGACACTCATTTGGCAACTTAAAATATTTACTTCTAATTATGTTTATTTCTTATCCTATTTTTATTTTACATTTTTTATCCTACTTTATTTTACATGTACCTGAAACTTGAGATTTTTAATTGATAATATTATAATTAATGCTTTTTGTATCATATGATTGCAATTTCATGATTTTATTTCAATGATTTTACATAACAAACTGTAGATAGAAATAATTTCGTCATATATAATGATAAATATATTTTCGTTTCCAAAAAAGAAATCATAGTTTTTTTAGTGTACGTGCATTTTTTAATGCATAGTTTTTTAGAAGACATATTTTAATTAATATCGTAATTTTTTCAGTATATCTCGACGAGATATAATTTAATAATATATTTTATAATTATTTAATTATATAATTTTATTATTTTTAATGATTATAAAAAATTATTTTATTTTTTAATATTGCTTCACATGTAGCACATAATTCTTTAAAAAAAAAAAAAAAGCAAAAAATTGTTTCTTAAATCAAATGAATTTAATGTTTGGCTTATTGAAGCCATCACCACCCTCTATTGACCCCAACGAACAGATAGGCTTATAATCCTGCGGGCTGGGGCCCACCACGTGTCATCATGCCGTGTGTCCAACTCCAGTGATTGCCAAACAACCGTACATTTTTCCTCAACATCATATATCACTTCCTACCCTCGTTATATTTTTCGGTCCTTTTTCTTCCTCTCTGCAAATTAGTTTTCTGACTAAAAACATGGCGACGATTCAGAAACAAGAAGTTGAAGAAGACAAAGAGCAGAGAAATATTGATCTCAGAATCAGCGGCAGAGGAGATTCACTTGCTAACATTGACGACACAAACGACGTAAGAAAGACGGTTGCTCCGAAAGAAGAAACTGACACAAACGAGAGATCAGCTAGAGCTACTCCTCTAGGATTTACGCCGGTCTCAGTCCATGTACCGGCGTCGGCTATGACGGTGGCGAAAAGAGGGTCGTCGAAAGACCGGCATACCAAAGTGGAGGGCCGGGGCAGAAGGATCCGAATGCCCGCAACATGTGCGGCTAGGATTTTCCAGCTGACTAGAGAATTAGGACATAAATCCGATGGAGAAACTATTCGGTGGTTGCTTGAACATGCTGAGCCAGCAATAATTGCTGCTACCGGGACCGGAACTATTCCCGCTATTGCCATGTCAGTTAATGGCACCCTCAAAATCCCTACAACCTCTAATGGAAACTCTGAACCCAACGACCCATCTGTTAAAAAGAAACGTAAACGACCTGCGAATAGCGAGTACATTGACATAAACGACGTTGCCGTTTCAGTCTCTGCACCTCTCGCTCCTATTTCATCACAACCTCCTCCGCCGCAATACCAAGCAGCAGCAGTTACAGTTCCTCAGGGTCTAATTCCTATGTGGGCCATATCATCAAACGCTGTCGTTCCAGGAGCGTTTTTTATGGTACCATCTATGCCAGGAATGGGACCTTCAAACCAGCCTCAGATATTCACGTTTCCGGCTGCGGCTCCGCCTTTAGTTAACATTTCGGCGAGGCCAATATCGTGTTTTCCGTCGTCCATAGCTACTTCTACAGTTGCTGGTTCTAAGCCTGCGAAAGAAACGTCAGTTATGGCAGCGCCAAATTCGAATTCTGCTTCTAGTACCACTACAACACAGATGCTTAGGGACTTTTCCTTGGAGATTTATGAAAAACAAGAGCTTCAATTCATGACTCCCTCTTCAAAACACTAAATTTTGGTTTATCCGCCATTAACGCTTTCGTTCGAGCTCGAAATTGGCTTGGAAGTTGGAGGAGACGGAGAGGACAGCACGTGTTCACGTGAGGAAGAGTTTTAATGGTGTGCACGTGTAAAGTGGGGTCAAGATTAGGCGTAAATGGGTTCCACCATCTGTGGTGGGTCAACACAACCTAAAATAAAAAAATACGTGGACCGTGCTTTGCAAAAAAGAGGAGCATGTGATGGGACGCGGGCCCCGAAGGTAGTGGGCCCCAAGGAACCGTTTGGGCATTATCTCCGAGAGTGGTCCCTAAGGTTAGTTCGGTGGTGGTCCCACATAGAGCAGTGCGGAAAATAATACTTTGGCTGGAGATGAGGACACGTGTCCAGTGCCCATCCGTCTCTACGTGAATACTCATCCCTCAAACATTGCTGGCTGGGGACTACCACTGCTTCTACAGGTACATGTTTTAATTGGTTTTACACTTTGTTGGTTCACTTTTGGAAACAATGCTTCTGTTTCATTACTTTGTTTTCTTTTGGTAATCAGTGGATTTCTAAGTAGTCGTTGGATTTGAAATTTACATCCCTAAAAAATATCATTAAATTAGGTTTGGAATATCATTAAATTAGGTTTGGACACGGTTCCGGAACCGGCGGTTCCGGTTCCAGATTTTCTGGAACCGGAACCGAACCGTGGACACGGTTCCGGGAACCGCTGCGGTTCCTGGTTTCCAGATTTTCTGGAACCGGAACCGAACCGTAAACAGGACCTGGTTCCGGGTTCTGGTTTTGGAACCTCTGGTTCCGGTTTCCGATCCGATTACAAAACCGACGTTCCGATCGGTTTTCCGGGCGAATCGCATAATTTTAACATTTTTTAAGAACTTTGAAAACTCGGATTTAAAAAAAAATTTGTTTTTTCTATGAACATAAAAAATTTGAAAAATACACCTAAAAAAAATTGTTAATGATCTTGAAGAAACCGGTGTTAAAAAAAAAATTAATTCAGACATAAAAAATTTAAAAAATAGAATAAAAAAAATTTTAAATTATTTGAAGAGCGGGTTAAAAACAAATTCTTTTGGAACATAAAAAATTAATAAAATATTACTTTAAAAAATTTTTAATAACTTACTTGAAATTTCCATTTATTTTATTAAAAAAGACTAACAGTTGTAACATAATTTTTTTTTTTTTAAAGTTTCAACTGAATTTTTTTTAATGTTTGAACATAATTAAAAAAAACAAAAGGTGGGCTTGAACTTAATTTTTTTTAATTTTAAAAAATTAAGTTGCCTACGTATCTCTCTTGGGGTTTAGAGGAATCAAAAATTCTTTTTTTTTCCCAAAAATAAAATGAGGTGATGGTATTTATAAATAAATATAAATGAGAGGATTTATAATAAATCCAAAGAATTCTTTTTTCCAAAATACCCTATAAAACTAAGCCGATATATAGCCGTTTATTGGCCGTTGGAGGGAGGTTAATTAAGAGATTTTATGAAACAAATTTACAAAAAAAAAAAAAAAAAAAAAATTCAAAAATCTGACAGTTCCAACCGCGTTCGCGATTTTTCCGTGGAACCACCGGTTCTGGTCTCCAGAAACTATCTGGATACCGGAACCGAACCGGAATCCGGTAAAAAAAAAAAAAAAAAAAAAAAATTCAAAATCTGACAGTTCCAACCGGTTCCGGCCGATTTTCTGGAACCGCCGGTTCTGGTTCCAGAATATCTGGAACCGGAACCGAACCGGAATCCGGTTCGTCCCGGTTCCGGTTCTCACCGGTTCCGGTTCCGGTTTGGAACCGGTTCGAAACCGGCGGTTTCGGTTCCATGAACCGTGATTTGGCCAAGCCTACATTAAATTTGTTCAAATAATAATTATTACATAAATTGATTATATTATTTTTAATTTAATATTATTCTATTTCATAATATTTTTCATATTTTGCATTTCTCGTTTTCTTAAAAAAATATTAAATTTGCCTAAATTACAATAAATTTTGAGTAAATGACCATTTTACTCTTCATATTAATTCTCCAAGAAAATCATCAAATTGAAGTAATAGTTATTGGTTGTATAGAAAAGGTAAAGATGAAAAAAAAATTTTATTACTTCTTGAAACCACAAATGTGACAAGTATTTTGGAACACATTATTTTTTCAAATGTGATAACTATTATGGAAATGAGGTAGTATATTCAAACACCGTTGGAGGAATTTAAGCATAATTTTTAGTCATAAATAAAGCGTAAATATATAAAAAAAAATATTATTCCTTGAAACCATAAATGTGAGTATTTTGAAATATATTACTTTTTAAAATGTGGCAAAACAAGAGGGAAGAATTTAGATGAACTTGGAAAATGTTTGTGCTATGGTAGCATCCATTTGGAGTTAAAATTGAATTGAATCACTACGAATCAAATAAACATTAATTTGTATAAAAGAAATTAATCAAATCAAATTGTATATAGAAGTGAATCGAACTTTTAAAAGTTAAATTGAATCGAGCCGATTAATTAGGTTTGATTTAATTAGTTTTACATGTTATATAAAAAACACGAAAAAAGTTTTGGCTGTAAAATTTGAAATTTAATTATAAAAAGTTTAAAATTTATAACTGAATTTACATAAATAAAAGTTGAATAAATTTTTATCACATTCAATAATAGAAACTTTGCATGAGCGAAACAGACTTTGGAAGTTTCATTATAAAATGCTTTATATATAAATATAGAAAATAAATAAAATTTATTACACTCACTAATGGTAAATTGATATTATTACTTAAATAATTTATAATATTAAGTGATCTTAACAGTGTAGCTATCGCATTAGTAATATATTAGCAGTATGCATACATATTAAGAAGTCTATATATTCTTTTATCATATAAACTATGGCCACTAACCTTCTTGGATTTGGTGTTGAAGAGTAGCTGAACTGGAGATTGATAAGGTTGCTGGATGCACTTGGCCTCAAAGTTGGACTCTATTTACGAGCTTGTAATGGACTATGTAATGCAATCAAATGTATTTTAATATAATATTTATATTAAAACACTTTCAATTATATTATATTATATTTTATTACGATTTACCGAATAGAGCCTTAATATGCAAGACTTAGATTTTATAACTCATAAATATTGAAGCTATTAGTCTTGTTAGATTATTAACTCACTCCTTCACTCCCTCTGTCCTAAATAGATAATCCACTTTGATTAAGAAATGGAAGTTATTATGGCTAGTGCACAATTTTATTACCATATTTTTCTTATTATACCCATTTTAAATAACACACGAGCAATTATTGTATTTAAATAATAAAAAATTATATTTTTTGATATTTTTAATCAGCAATCAGAATATTAAAATTTATTAAGAATAATAATAGGAAAAACTTATCAAACTCGAGCAATTACACCTAAGCCAATAGTTTACCCTATACATCCAAATCCTGACTCGAATTTGACAAGAAAATCCAAAAGAAAAGAAACAGAGCAGTAGAATCACACTAGAAACCTCTCTTAAGACAAGAGGAGTGCTAGAAACGGAAAAAATCTAGAACCGCGGATATGATAAAGAGAGAAATCCAAAAGAATATGATGAAATTAAATCTAAGCTAAGAGAAAGAATATGATGAAACTAAATTCAATCTAAGAATGGACTTGAAGCCGTATCATCTTTGTTAACTAAAGAATCTGCAAAATGATTGCCATCTCTTGGATCGAAAACAAATTGAACCTGACTGAGTTGAGACAAAATCTAATTCAACTTGTTAAACTTCTCCCACCATTTCCACAACCTCTTCATCTTTTGAATAACCCAGTACAAGCATTTTTAGAGTCTGACTCCACAATTAAAGGAAAGTTCTTAACATATGAATTCCAATAAAACTCAATAGCCTAAAAGAAAGTAAGGATTTTCGCCTCGTTTGAATCCAAAATACCGACTGAGTGATAAAAAATACATTTAACAATCCATTGCTATCCCTTAGCATGCCTCCAACCCTTATTGGACTCGGCTTACCAGAAGAAGATCCATCGATATTAAACTTCAGCAAGACTTTATCTGGCGCTCCCTAAACCACCGACTTCATAGGACCGATTGCTGTAGTCCCAGCAGAACAACTTGACCTGTAGACTTCGATGGAAAGTAAAAACTGGTTGCTGAGAGTGAAAGAAAGAAAAAGATTTTTAGCCTTCAACAACTCGAAGCTTCTAAATTTAAGCATATCAACAACCTTTTTTCGGATTCTGTCTTATATCACAAAATACAACTTTGTTTCTAGCTAACCAATTCGACTACAAAGTTAAAAACATAATAGAATTTTAGATAGCATGACACGCTTTAACCAAGACAATACTCTGCCATTGCTGGCTTATATTTTCCAAAGAAAGAAGCAGAACACGAAAAACACCCCACCATCTCAGCACACCCATCTAGACATTTCTTGCAAAAGAACAAAATAGGAGAACATGATCAACTGATTCAACATCCGTGCCACAGAAAGGACAGAAACAATCCTGCAAGTTTAAAATAATCTGATGTCTAAACAGATTTAATCTACAAGGATTCTTTTTAGGATTACTCTCCATACGAAAAAAGAAATTTTTCCCAAAAATTAGGGGAGACCAGAGTTGTTTTAAGTTGTAAGGAACACTTACCCTCACCCAACTCAAACTGTTCCATCAAGGAAGATAAATTTTTTACCGAGAATTTGCCTTGCTTGCTGAAAGTCCAAATTAATTGGTTTTCAGATTTGGGAATAATTGACAGCCCTTCTAATCTTCGTTTTAATTGAGCCCAATATTCATCCTCAAAACTTCTAAAATCACGCAGCCATTTTATTTGCCAAACCCATCTGCCATTATTAAAGAAACCACATTCGCAAATCTTGCTCCTTTTATTTTTTGCTAAACTGAAAAGTCTGGGGAACAAAGAAGAGAGACGTAGATCATCAATGCAAAGATCCAACCAAAAATTAATAAAATTACCACTTCCTAGAAACCACCTGAATCCCCCCTTAAAAATGATTTTAAGAGAAGAAGTGCCAATCGAAGATATATCTCGCCAAACTAGAGATAGTTTTTTCCAATATTTTGACCCCAGATTTGAATTCCATGTCCACTCATTTCCATACTTAGAAATTAATGCATTTCCATAAAAAGCCATTTTCAAATCTAAACCACCACCACCATTTTTCGAAGAGAGATAAGTTTTTACGTTTCAAGTTCGGAATGCCAACCCCACCCAAAGTCTTGCTGCAGCAGGTAGAGCTCATAACAACCCAAATTAAAGGCCTCTCATTTTCCGGCCCTTTAGCCCATAAAACCCGTCTCTGGATTGATTCAATTTTTTAATAACAGAAGATGGAGCTTTGAAAATTGACATACAACACAAGGGTAATGAAGACAACAAAGCAACACTACCTCAGAAAGAAAATTTTCTAGCTTTCCACGACGACAATCTTATTTCAAACTTCTGAATCACTGCTTTCCATGAAACAAGCTTTCTAGGATTGCTACCAATGGGAATGCCCAAGTAAGATGAAGGCAAGACATCCGGAATACAACCCAAAGAAGCTGCAAGGTTATTCAATTCTGTTTCAAAGATGTTCAAACCAAATAACTTACTTTCGCTAAAGTTTATTTTTAAGCTCGTAAGGAATTGAAAACACAAAAAAATTGTCCTCAAATTGCGAATCTGAACCTCATTTGCAACATTAAATATCATCAAGTCATCTGCGAATTGTAAATGGGAAGCAGTTATCTCATCTTCCCCCACTTTTACTCTCGATAGAAAACCTTTTTCAATCGAGTTTTTCATAAGAAGGTTAAGTCCTTCAACCACAATAAGGAAAAGAAATGGCGAAAGTGGGTCTCCTTGCTTGAGGTCCCTACACATAGCAAATTCCTTCGACAACCATTTACCAAAACCGATAATCTGGAGGTCTCTAGGCACTCCTTTATCCAGCTTCTCCATCTTTCCCCAAAATCCATTTTATCCATCATAGAAAGTAGAAAGTTCCAGTTCACCGAATTATAAGCCTTCTAGAGATCAGGCTTGAAAAAAACAGATTTGATCTTCCTTTTCTTTTGGTCATGAATTAACTCATTGCATATTAAAATTCCACAAACGCTGTTTGATTTTACCTAATGATAGAATGCATAACACGCCTCATCCTTAAAGAAAGAAGTTTTATTACAACCTTTTAAACACTACCAATAAAGGATATTGGCCTATAATCGGACAGACTTTAAGGTGACAGAATCTTTGGGATCAATGTTATGAAGCTAGAATTCATACCTTTAGACAATTTACCATTAACATAGAAGTCTTGGAAAAATCTGATTAAGTCTTCTTTAATTGTTTCCCAACAATATTTGTAAAAATCTATTGTGTACCCATCCGCCCCAGGAGACTTGGATGAGCTGCAACTCCAAACTGCTTCCTTTATTTCTTCTTCAGAAAAAGACGCTTCTAAACCAAGCCTTTCAGATTCTGATAATTTCCTAATTGATTCACCACTCAACATGGGCCTTATAATTGTATTAGTTGTAAACATGTTAGAAAAGTAGTGATAAGCTGCATTTCTCGCTTCTGCCACTTTAGAAACCCAACTTTCTTGAAAGTATAAACCCGATATTTGATTCTTAGCTGCTCTTTTGTTAACTGTTGTCGGGTAGTATTTAGTGTTAACATCCCCTTCTTTTAGCCACTTCACCTTGTCTTTCTATCTTAACATACTCCCTTCAGCTCTCTGAATCTTTGGCAATTTCGAAAAATAAGAATCTTCTAGAAGATACTTCTTTATTATTGAGATTCATATGTGTTGTGCGGTGCCCACTCAGTGGGACCCACACTTTGTTGAAAATAGAAGATGGTAGGTGATCAACCACATGTAGTTTGAAAAAAAAAAAAAAAATTCTAGAAGATACTTCTTTATTATTGAGATTCATATGTTGTTGTGCGGTGCCCACTCAGTGGGACCCACACTTTGTTGAAAATAGAAGATGGTAGGTGATCAACCCATGTAGTTTGACAAAAAAAAAAAAACATGTAGTTTGAAAAAAAAAAAAAAAAGGAAAAGAAGTCTTTGGTAGGTGATCCGTTGGTAGGTGGACGCGTTAATCACGCATCCATCTCTCCTAATCAGGCTTCCACCTCTCCTATAAATAGGAGATGGTGCTAGAGCTTCAACACACCACAACAAAAGAAAAGAGAGAGAGAGTTTAGAGAGTCGTTCAAGTTTTAGAACTGTGTTCTAAAATCGAGTAGAGAAAATAGTGAGGATAATTTAGGGTATTTTTGGAAAACACTGAGCGCCACTATTTTGTATTACTCTCTTTGTAAGCTTACTATTTTTAATAGTGGAAGAAATATTCGGTTTTTGTTCCGTGGACGTAGCCCTAAACAGTTTTGAACCATGTAAATATTTGTGTGTCATATTTCTATTTTTCGCTTGTTATTTATTCGTCGTAATTTTATTGCCGGGCCTTTAAACAAAGGGTATCAGAGCCGAAGGTTTACCGGATCCGTGGATATATTTTTTGAAAATAAATATACCACGACGACGAGAAAATTACGCCGAGTCCATTGGTGCAGTCCGTTCGGAAAGAAGTTGCAGAATCGACTTAGTGATGAATAGTAAAATAGTAACTCAAAGTGATGGTGAATAGTACTATTGGCGTTATTGTTTCAAGAAAGCTGTTGCTGAGTCCGTTTCAAGAAAGCCCAGCACTATTCACGCATAGTACTATTCACGTATACAGTTACTATTTACTCATATAGGTACTGTTTACGTATACTGTTACTATTCAGTCATACGGTCACTATTCACGTATACTACTATTCACGTATACGGTTTCTGTTGGTGTTAATATTATATTCATGCCACAAGTCAAAAATGGACGACAGAACAACAGGCACAAGGTTAGACTCAAACCTCATCCCAAACTACATCAAACTATGCAGTATGGAAGATATTAATGGAAGATCTTCTATGCTGCAAAGATCTTTTTGAAACGATTGAGTTGAAAGGGGTTAGACCAGCTTCAATAAATGAGAGCGATTGGAAGTCGATTAACAGAAAAGCAGTCGCAACCATCAAGCAGTCTGTTGAAATGAGCATCATAAATCATATCGCTCATGAGAAAAATGCCTATTCAATTTGGAAGAAGTTGGAGGACATGTACGAGCGGAAGAATGCCCAGAACAAAGCTTTTTTAATTAAAAAGCTTGTAAATCTAAAGTACAGAGATGGCGAAAGTGCTTCAGATCACTTGAAGTACAGAGATGGCGAAAGTGCTTCAGATCACTTGGGCAAATTTCAAGAAATATTGAACCAACTGACGACGTCAAAAATATTGTTTGACGACTAGGTGCAGGCACTATTCTTATTGAGTTCCTTGCCGGACAGTTGGGAAACACTAACTGTTACGCTCAGTAATGTGTCGGAGGGGAATCTGACCTTAACCATAGTTAAGGAAAGCATTCTGAATGAAGAAACCAGACGGAAGGAGAATGCTACAAGTAGCAACTCAGATGCACTCATTACAGTTGCAGAAAGGAGGGGGAGAAGCAAGATTTACCCAACCAAAATAAAACAAGGGCAAACGTGACCATTTCACGGAGAAGATCCAAGTCCAAGAAAAGGAAGGTTCACTTGCTCATCATTGTGGCAAGCCCGGTCACGTCAAAGGCACTTTACAGAAAGTGGAAGAAGGAACGAGCCAAAAAGACAAATGATTGAGGAAAAAGTCGGAAAATGATGAGGAAAAAGACGATACAGAGGTAGCTTCAGTAGCTATTGATGCTGACGCACTTGGTGATGGTAGTGTGCTGATTTCTCATGCTGGTCTCAGTGAGTGTTCTACTAGTCAACAATCTCTATGGATTATTGACTCTGCATGTTCTTATCATATTTCTTCAAAGAATGAATATTTCTCATCACTTATCCTCGGAGATTATGGCCATGTCAAGACTTTGAATGGCACATATGTAGAAAATTGTGGCATTGGAACAGTATGCATCAAAACCAATGCTGGTTATGATTTCTGGTTGGAAGATGTGAGATACACTCCTACGGCAAACTTCAATCTGATCTCAGTTCATTGTCTTGATTGTCTTGATGAATTGGGTATGCAAATCTGTTTGTCAACAGAACGTGGAAGCTTTCCAAAGGGAACTTAGTGTTCAGTAGAGGAAGAAAGTTCAACACCCTCTATTATACCCAGGCCAAAGTTTGCACGGGAGTGGTGAATGCAGTTGAAGATTCATCTGCTGAGTTGTGGCGCCAACGACTTGGTCATTTGAGTGAGAAAGGAATGGAGACTCTCACCAAGAAGAAAATGCTGTCTTTGAAAGGTTTGCATTTAAAAATGTGCACTGATTGTTTGTCTGGTAAACAACATAGAGTTTTCCTCAAAGATCTCCTCTCCAATCTAGGAAAACCCGGTATTCTTAGAAATGTACACAAATTGATGTTTGTCAAAATGCGGTGACAAATCCTTGAGTGGCTGGCTCATATTATGGTTAGCTTATTGATGACCCATTCTAGAAAGGGTGGCTTTCCCAAATAAAGTCAAAAAGACCAGGTGCTACCAGGTGCTGGATATGTTTAAAATCTTTCATGTCAGTGTTGAAAGACAAACGGGAAGAAAGTTAAAATGTGTTAGAGCTGATAATGGTGGTGAGTAAAGAGGACCGTTTGAAAAGTATTGCTCAGAACACGGCATCAGACTTCAGAAGACAGTTCCCAAAACTCTACAGCAGAATGGAGTTGCAGAGAGAATGAACAGAACCATTGTTGAAAGGGTTCGATGCATGCTCTCTCATGCAAAACTTCCTAAAACCTTTTGGGCTGAAGCAATGAATACTGTAGTTTACTTGATCAACCTTTCACCTTCAACCTCCCTCAACGGAGATGTACCAGAAAAGGTGTGGTCATGGTCAGGGAAAAATATTTCTTACGATCATCTTGGAATATTTGGCTGCAGGGCTTTTGTTCATATTCCAAAAGATGAAAGATATAAGCTTGATTCGAAGTCAAAACAGTGTATCTTCTTGGGTTATGGAAATGATGATTTTGGGTACAGATTATGGGATCCAGTTGAAAAGAAGCTCATCAGAAGTAGAGATGTAGTATTCCTGGAAGATCCTGGAAGATCAAACCATTGAAGACTTTGAGAAAAATGAAAAGCCAAAGTCTATCAATGAATTTTCTGTTAGTCTTGATGCAGAACCTCGTGCAGAAGCACAAAATGATGAAGAAGACAATGATGAACTAGTTCACAATGATGATGAACCAGCTCCAATAGAAGAACTGCCTCAATTGAGAAGATCTGTGAGAGGCAGGATACCTTCCCAGAGGTACTCTCCTAATGAGTATGACTTGTTGACTCAAGGGGGAGAACCAGAGAACTACCAGGAGGCAATGGAAGATTGTAAAAGAAATGAGTGGTTGAAAGCCATGCAAGATGAGCCATCCCGCAAGATGAATGGGATTCTTGCTGAGAACCAGACTTATGAGTTTATGAGTTGGTGAAACTGCCTCAAGGTAAGAAAGCACTGAAGAACAAATGGGTGTTCAGGTTGAAGACTGAACAGAACAACTCACAGCCAAGGTACAAGGTGAGACTGGTTGCGAAGGGATTCGGTCAGAAGAAAGGAGTTGACTTTGAAGAAATTTTCTCACCCGTTGTCAAGATGTCTTTTATCAGAGTTGTGCTCGGATTAGCAGCTAGCTTGAATTTGGAGATCGAGCAACTTGATGTAAAGACTGCTTTCCTTCATGGTGACTTAGAGGAGGAAATTTATGTGGAGCAACCAGAAGGGTTTAGAGTCAAAGGCAAAGAACACTTGGTGTGTAAATTGCAGAAGAGCTTGTATGGCCTCAAACAAGCTCCCAGACAATGGTACAAGAAGTTTGACTCTTTCATGGTGAATCACGGGTATGAGAAAACTACTTCTTCAATTGTGTTTTGTGAAAAGTTTCGCAGAAGGCGACTTTATTATTCTCTTGTTATTATGTGGATGATATGCTTATTGTGGGGCCAAGATGCTAGAAAATGGAGAAGCTTGAAAAAGGAAAACTTGGAAAATCCTTTGCCATGAAGGATTTGGGATCGGCAAAACAGATACTCAGAATGAAGTATCTTTAGAGACAGGAAAAAAGAGAACGAAGTTATGGGCATGTCTCCAAGAGAAGTACATCGAGAAAATTTCTCAGTAGATTCAACATTTTGAGCAATGCGAAACCAGTATAGTACTCCGGCTTGCAGGGTCATTTCAAAATTAAGTCCTCATCAAATGTCCTTCAAGTGAGAAAAAGAAAAAGAAGAACTTGAAGAAGATTCCTTATGCATCCCGCCGTTGGGCAGCTTGATGTACGCCAATGGTATGAGCACAGACCTGGATATTGATCATGGCTGTTGGTGTTGTAGCCAATTTCTTTCAAATCCAGGTAAAGAACACTGGAATGCAGTGAAGTGGATTCTCAAGTATTTTAAAGGCACTTCCAAAATCTGCTTATGTTTTGGTGATAATAGACCTGTGTTAGATGGTTACAAAGACGCAGATATGGGTGGTGATGTTGATTCGCGCAAATCAACTTCTGCATATCTGATGACTTTTGTAGGAGCA